TAAAAAAAAAAAAAGTCAGGGGTGACTTTTGACTTTGAGGTGTTCAAGACTTCAGTGGAGGAAGTATTTGCAGGGTTTGAGGGATTGACTCCACTTTTGAAAGAAGTTCTACTGTGGATAAAATGCTATCAAATGGCTCTACATGCTATAGAGAAATAATTTTCTCTATAAAGGAAGAGTAAATCGATGTGGTAAACTTCCTTGTTGTCTTATTTTAAGAGATTGCCACAACCGCCCCAGCCTTCAGCATCTATTGTCCTGATCAGCCATCAGCCATCAACACTGAGGCCAAACCCTGCACCACCAAAAAGATTACAACTCACTGAAAGGTCAGATGAGTGTTAGCACTTTTTTAGCAATGGAGCTTGAACTCATGGCCTCAAGATCAAGAGTCATGTGCTCTACGGCCTAAGCCAGCCAGGTGCCCCAACAATAAAGTATTTTTAAATTGAGGTATCTATGTTGGTTTTTTAGACAAAATGTTATTGCACACTGAATAGGCTAGTATAGTGTAAACATAACTTTTATATGCACTGGGAAACCAAAAAGTTCATTTGATCCACTTTATCATGATATTCACTTTATTGCAGTGTTCAGGAACTGAACCCACCATATTTTTAAGATATGTCTGTATTCCTTATACTTAAAATAGGGGTAGTACCAGTCCCTACTTTACAGGGCTGCTCTAAGGATTGAGTGAGTTAATGCATGCATATAAGGAGCCTAGAACAGTGCTCAGCACATCGTAAGTCCTCAGATAATGCTACTTGTCATTATTTTTCTTTTGTTTTCACTGTCCTTGTACTTCTCAGTCTGTTTTGGAGCAAGCCTGTTCTTCCTCATGTAATTTTTTCCATTTCCCTCTCTTTCTCCTGTATTTTATAGTCCACTTTAGCCCTCATCATTTTTCATCTAACCAGTTAAATGTACATAACATATGCAGAGAGATGAATTGGAAAAGAGGCCACTGAGGTTCCCCCTAAGGAAGTAGACAGGGACTGAGTGGTGGGCAGGGGGTATCTTCAGCCTGTTTGAATGTTTACAATGGGAATGCATTTACTATTGTTTCTGCAATTAAAAGGAAATGTTTATAACTGCTAAGTGGAGGTGGGGTAGGGGAAGAAAGACTCCAGGGCAGCCTCCTTCTATGGCAGCCAGTTCACATCATGCACTGATGCTATGAGGGACACAACCAGACAACACATTTCCAGGACTGCAGCCAGCTGCTCCCTAACCATGGCAGTGCCAAGAGTTCCTTTGTCCACAAAATATGCCTCAGATTCACCTCTCTGTCGGCTTTGCCTTTCCCATTAGCCTTTAGCATGCCCACCCTGCCGCCCAAGGACACCGGGGAGGAACTCTGGGGGATGAGTACTACTGTACCTGGGTCAGATGCCAGCTCCTGTGAAGGCTTTCCTGACATACCATGTGAACATGTTTGAATTAACTGTGGCTCTTTGTTCCCACATATGTTGTTGATACCTGCCGAGGCAGCACTTAGGGTTTGAATGTTTTCGGCCTTGTGTTGTTCATCGAACTTTGACTCTCTCATTAGACTGTTTACTCGGTAAGGGTAAATACAGGGTCTCTTATTCATGGCTGGAGACCCCACACCAGTCACCACCTGTACCTGGCCCAGTTCATCATAAATGCTCAGGAAGTGTTTTATTGAAAGGGTACCCTGAACTGCCCCCCCAACACCACATTAGGACTTTTGCATTTTATTCCTTCTGCCCTGTCCCTGGCCACTTCATATTATTCAGACCTCAGATTAGACACTGCCTTCTCCAAGCACCCTTCCTTGAGTACCCTACCTAAAAACAGACTAACTTCTACCCGAATCCTTCTCTATCTCATAACTTGTTTTATTTCCCTCATAGCACTCACTGCAATCTGAAATTTTCATGTTTGACTCACTTTATTGTCTGTTTCCCTAGCTGGGATGTGAATCACAGGAGGGCAGGGACCTTGTCTTTTTGTATTTGCCTTGAGTCCCCAGTGCTTAGGACAGTGACTGGTGTATAGCACGTGCTCAATAAATATATGAATGAAACTCTATTTGTTTGGTTACTGACTGATCCCCGAGTAGAATGTCAGCTCCATGGAGGCCAGGATCTTATCTGGGTTATCACTACATCCTCAGAACCTAGCATGGTGCCTGGTGCATAATAAATCCTCAAGAATTTCTGGGTCAGTGAATTAATGTCTCACACACACTTTAACACAACATGCTCCAAACTGAACTTAGTTTCTTCTTCTCCACCAGACCTGCTTTTCCTTCTGTGCACTCTAATTCAGTCAATGGCATCATTATCCACTCCTGACACCCAACCCGGAAATGAACTCACACTCCTTTCACTCCCTCACGTACTAGTTTCAATTAGTCTCTAAGCCCTGCCTATTCAACCTCCAAAATATTCCACTTATCTAATCCTTTTCTACCTGTGTGGCAGCTATCTTGATTCAGTCCTCATCTTTTTTTTTTTTTCATTACTAATGCAATAGCCTCCTCCCTCCTATCTCCCTTCATTTTTCTTTTTTATTATGGAAGACTTCATAATATTACATGGCATCCTTGTACAGGGGCCATGTTAATCTTCTTTGTGTCTTTCCAATTTTATTATGGCCAAAATGAGTCCATCTTGCCTCCTTGTGAAGCTAAGGCGGCTTTACCTGTGGGACCTATCACTTGCCATATGGTCATGTTGTCATATGTTTTTATAAAGTTTGCAAACTATATTTAAAGCACAAGTGGTTAAAACTGCTTTCCTCTTCCACTGGTTTCCTCCTAGTCACACTTTCTCTTGTATTAGGTGGTGTTGGAGCTGCCAGACATTTTTGAGACCCAGCTAAGTGAAAGCTGATTTAGGAGTTACATTTAGTTTGGGTTTGGTGAGACATTGCATCTTTTCGATTTATAATTATTACCCAGGTGTGGTAATAGCTTCTAGAAATACTCTGTCCACCTTTGAGCCTAATTTTGTATTCACGATTCTGTTTCTTAAACTCCTACCTCACAAACTGTATAAGCTTCAGGTCCCACTAAACCTCGATTTTTCCCTGGCTAAGACACAAATGTGACTCAGTTGCTCTCACTCAAACACTTTCAGCGGTTTGTTATTGCTTACAGGGTAAAATCTAATATTTAATTTCTCTTTGTAAACGTTTTCTCATGTGCTTCTATGCATTTGTACATGTTGATTCTTTTATCTACCATGCTCTTGCTTGTTAATTTATTGGACCTACAGATCTCCCTGACACCTTCCTTGACAGCAGTAAGCAACTTCTGATGCACTTTCATGATTTTATTTTGCACTTTGCAAGAGGTGCCTGTGTGCTTACTTGACCTTGTAATCCAATTGTTGACTTGCAAGCTTGTCTCCTGCCTCTGCTGGCAATTTTCCCACTGCAGAGTCCCTCTTCAACATTGTATCCCCAGGACCACTACTTAGAAAATTGGTGTGCACACATATAATTTCTTGTTTAAAGTGATGAGAACCTTTAAAAAAATGAAATGGCATCACAGGAGGATAGGAGGAGGATTCCTAGAGAATATTCTAGAATGTCAGGAAACACCAGCGCCATCTTAAACCATGTGTGTGGAGCTCCATTCTTTCAACCCCTTCTCCCACCCAACCCTCAGGCTGTAGTCAGAAAGTCTTGGGACTTGTGCATGAAACTCCAACACTGTATCTGAAGCAAACTGAACTGAAACAGTGGAGTCAAAGAAAAGAGAGTTCAGAGGGCGCTGGGAAGTCGACAGAAGCTTTATGGAGGAACTAGGATTGAGGGACCAATTGAGGGACCAATGACAGAACACGGGGATGGTAGAGGGTGCAAAGTTCAACTTCTCGGCTCCGAAATTCAAGCCACGTGTCTTCCCTAAGCCCATGTGGTCACTTGAGAATAATAAGAGAGCTTCCCTTACAGGGTGAAGAATAAACGCTTCGGAGACGGTGCAAAACAGCCTAGCCACTGAATGTGCTCGAAGACCAGAAGCTGTTGTGCGTACTCCACCCCTTCCCTGGCCCAAGCCCGCCCCCACCGTCACCGATTAGTTTTGCCAGTTTGCAGTCACTGAGTTCACCTCCTCTCATAGGACGAGAAGGCTGAGGAGGGGGAGGCGAGGGAGTACGGAAGGAGTGGAGGCGGAGGAGGAGTGAGTGTGAGTGAGTGTGTGTGTGTATGTGTTGGCGCCGGGGGTTTGGGGGTGGTGGTGGTGCTTAACTCCCCGTTTACCCCGAGGAGGAGGAAAACTGGGAAGGTTCTGGCCCCACTCAAAATGGAGCCAAGCGACTGCCTCGCCTAAGATGGTGGCTTAAGGTCCTCAGCCTCGATTGGTTACCTAGAAGAAACGAACAGGACCAAAGGTAGCCAAATCCCATCCCCTTTTCTCAAGGTGGCGCCCCGCCTCTGCTGGCGTCACGCGGGAGCCGCTAGCTTCCCTTCCCCGCCTCTGCCGCGGTTACCTCCTGTGCCCAGCCCTCATAAGATGGCGGTCGGGTAGCCTCCCCGCGGCGGCGCCGCCACTCTCAATATGGTAGCTGTTTACCCCATATTTCTCCTCCCCTCTTCGTTTCAACTTCCTCCTTGTTTTGAATAAACTTTATTGACTACTTCGAATCGCCTACCACTGCCACTGGGCTGCTCCCGGCGACTTTTCAGGCAGTTTTCTCTCCGACCTGGCCGCAGGCGCAGCTAATTCCTGGTTGGCTTCCTCGCGGCGATCTCCTGCTGGCCCAGCGACGACGCTGTTTGCTTGTTCACCGGGTGGCCACCGACTAGGCCCGAACCGCGGGCTCCAGTAGGCCCTAACGCCGGGCCCGGAGCAAAACCGTGGGGGAAAGCTGCCCTGAAGCACTACCCGGCGCCCGGGGCCCCGCGAGACCCAGCGGGTGGTTCTGCGGGAAGGCGAGCAAGGCTCGCAGCGTTGCCGTGACGATCCCAGAATTCGGCGCGCGCTGCCGGTGGGGCCGGAACTGCTAGCCGATCCTCCGCTCAGCTAGGCGCCCAGGCGCTCCAGTGCGAGCCCAGCTCCCGGCGCGTCGCTGGAACTGAACTTCGCGAGTGTGAGCAATCCCTGCAGCTTTGCAGATGAGGAGGTCTCTGTAGGGCTTGGGACGAAAGACATTCTTGTCAGGTTTGGGGCGTGAGGAGGTTCCTGTCATTTTGGGAGGCGTGAGGAGATCTCGTAAGTTTCGGGGGCTGCAAGAATATTCCTGTCAATCTTGGGATTTGTGAGATCTCTGTCAGTTTGGGGGGACAAGGGAGTCCTCGTCACTTTGAGGGGGCTGTGAGGAAGTGCCTGCCCGTTTCTGATCGTTGGGGGGGGATCCTTTCTTAGTTGCAGGAGTGTGAAGAAATTCTAGTCAGTTTCAAGGGTTTAAAGGAGATCCTTTTTAGTTTTGGGGGTGCAACGGGAACCCTTTCTCTTTGAAGTAGGGGACGATCGGATCAGTTCTGAAATTGAGATTTCTTTCATTTGTTGGGGTGATGATACTCCTGACTGGTTGGGGATGGAATGATTTTGAGAGTGAAGGAGAAGACCATTTAAACTCTCAGCACAACCCAGAACTGTGATTTGAGTTGGGCGCCTAGTCTTGTTTGCCTTATTCTTGAAGGCATCAAGGTAATTGTCGAGTAATCTGAGCCAACTTTCAGGGATCCCTCATCTCTCTCTAGTTGCCCCTATGTTGGGGTTGAGAGAAGGGGCTTTTTCTGATGTACCCCAGCGTATTTCTTTAGGCTCTCGTTTGCGTCATAATAGAGCCCTAGGAAGAAAGGTTGTGAGCAAGGTTGTGAGCAAGGTACAGTGAGGGATCAAAGAAGCTTCCTGAAGGCGTCAGATATTTCCCTGAAACCCGGAAAGAAGTTATCACTGACTCTGGGGGCCGAAGGAGGTAGGGAAAAAACAAAAAAACCCTTGACCGTCAAACGCCGTCCTTTATTTGTTAAGGAAATTCTGGAGGCCGGTGGACTTTTCTCCGATTGCCCCCTACAGCCACACCAGCTGTGTTGCATCTCCGCAGCACTAACTGCCCATTCGTGAACGGAGGGTTGGTACCCTGGGGGACCTGATTCACTAGGTTAAAAAGTGTTGTTTGTGCCCAGCCATCGTCCAGAAAGGACGCGTGCTGCTGCCTGCTGCTTCTCTTGACGCTACGAACCTGGCCCGCCGCAGAGCGCTCCAAGGCCGGGCGAAGATGGCCTCAGTGCCAGTGTATTGCCTCTGCCGGCTGCCTTATGATGTGACCCGCTTCATGATCGAGTGTGACATGTGCCAGGACTGGTTTCATGGCAGGTAAGGAGGGCAGGCCAGGCTGGGCAGGTGCTCGTTTGCTCGCTCCTTTCTCTCCCCTGTTTTAGGTTCTCGCTCAGAAAACAACCCGCACCCCGCGCCCCTCCCCCCACTCCAGTGAAGAATTACCTCCAATCCACCTCCCAGACCCAGGTTCTCTCATCCCTTCTTGCAGACCAGGGCCTAGCTGACATTGGCTTCTGGTGTCTTCCTTTTTTCTCTTTTCCCATATATGTTTCTTCTTTGCCCCCTTTGACTTTATTTAATTTGCAAAATATTTTTGAAAATGTATCATTTTTGTACCCTGGCAGTTGTGTTTTGCCTTAGACTCAGGCTTTGTAGGATACAGTACTATATTCTTGAGATAACTGAGTCCAACAAACATGGGTTTGAGTTGTGGCTTTGCAACTTAATAATCAGTGTGTCCTTGGGTAAGTTGCTTTGCCTCTCTGAGCCCCATTGTCTTCGCCTATAAAATATATCTAATATATCTAATATATCTGTTCTGATTATTTAAAGTATTTTGCATGCTCTCAGTGAGTGGAGGCAGAAATACAATAGGATTTCTGTTTCTTCAGTATTTATCTGCAGAACCATCCAACTGAATTGAATTAAGCAGAAGAGATATTGGGTAAAACAGCAGGAATAAGGCCACTAATGAATTTCCTCGTTAACCATGTGTGCTCATAAGCACCTGTCACCCAGGATCCCAGAGAGGTTAGTGTGTGGGAAAAAACTGATGTTATCCCATAATTGGGACTTAAATTCCAGTTATGGAAAGAAAACCATGAGAGGAATTTTTGCACTGGAGTACAACAGAACAGTATATGGTGCCTCCTGTTGCATGTTAGATTCTAGTTTTCAGTTGTCACTAGTCCCTTACAAATGAGTTTCTGTTGTTTTACCCGAGACCAGACTGAAGGTGCTGATACTGCTAAAATTCTGTTCTCAGCAGAGATTGCCCCTTGCAGAGCATTCACGTTCATGTTCACCTGATCTTTATTGAGTATTTACTGTGTGCCAGGTGTGGAGTTCTTTTTTTAAAAAAGATTTTATTTATGTACTTGAGAGAGAGAGTCAGAGGGAGAAGCAGACTCCCTGCTGAGCAGGGAGCCCAATGCGGGACTTGATCCTGCGACTCCAGGATCATGACCTGAGCCAAAGGCAGTCACTTAACCAACTGAGCCACCTAGGCACCCCAGGTGTGGCGTTCTGTTTGCTGCTTCATGTTGTTTGATTTAAGAGAGGACAGACCTACAGGGTGGGGCATTTTCCTTTCCTCTGGAAATTAGCGGGATTAAGATGATTTTCAGGATTCCTGGTATCTTTGCTACTGCTGATCAAGTCACTCCTCTGTTTAAAATTCTTTTGGTGGTTCCCCTATAGAATGAAATTCAGTCTCCTTTGTGTGACAGATAAGACCTTTTGTGATCTATTTGTTCAGTCTCATTTCCCGCCACTCCTCCTCCTGTTTCTTTGTGTCCCAGCGAGACTGAACTACTTAGAGTTCTGGGAGAATTTTATACTCCTTTATGCCTCTTCTTTGTGTGTGCTATTCCTACTAATGTCCTCTCTTTTACAACTCATAGCATTTATCTCCTCTGTAAAAGGCCTCCATCCTCCTGGTTCCTATTGCACTTTGTGTACATCCTTACCAAAAGTAATTATTTCATCATCTCGTAGTCATAAATACATCTGTGTCCCTCATTAGCCAGAGCTACTTGAGGGCAGATATGTCATCTTTTCAGTTTTGCTATCCCTAGAACCTAGCTCAGTGCTAAACATTTCATAGGTTGAGTGCATTTTTGAATGAATGAATGAATGAATGTGTCTTCTTAAAAAAAGCTATTGCCTGTGGCCTTGCTTTGGTTTATGTGAAAAGTGTGTAGGTTCAAACTTGGGAAGGAATTTCTTCCTGCCTACAATGTAGAGACCCTAACCGCACAGTTTAGGAACAGAAAACTGGACCATATGCTCTCTCATATGCCAGGCCCCATGACAGGGACTTTACATAAATTATTTCAATCCACACCCAACCCTGGAAGTTAGATTTTTCTTTTTTAAATAATATTTTAAGTTTTTTCCTGACTGCATATGTGAGACATGCTCATTGTAGAAAAGAAAAATTATAAAGAAGGAAATAAAAATCATCTATGAATCTGCTATCCTGCATAATCCACTGTTAAATGTTTTGTTGCATTAACTCCTATCTTTTGACTTAGAATATGAAACTGTATTTTTATAAAATAGGATTGTATTATAAATACCATTTTGTAGCCTGATTTGTATTCTTACTGAACATTATAATGTGAGTATTTTACCAGGTTGTCAAATATTCTTCTAAACTTCATTTCTGATATCCCACCATATATATGTGTCATCAGTTACTTGGTCATTTCCTCTGTGATTGGATACTTAACATTAGTTCTACTATTTTATAATGAAATATTGTGATATGAGGGAAACTTGGAGGATTCTGGAAATGTTTTTCATTTTGATACGGGGTTCTGTTAAAACAAAAAGAAAAACATTATGGTGAATATTGTTGCACATTGGAGACTTGACATTTATAATGAATGCCACAGAGGTCTTTAAGAATTCCAAATTTACAAATATGGAAATGGGTTTACGGACCACGCTCCTCCTTAATCACATTTCTATGGTGAGTCCCATGTTTCTGTAAACACCCCAACACAGGCAAATTGCCTTAATTTTTTTTTCTATGAAAGAGACCAAATTTTTGTGTCTTCATGCTTCTGTCTCTGGGCTAGCAGAAAACAAGGAAGCCAGCTGAGAATAAGGTCCTTGGGACGCTCTTGCTTACTCAGTGCATTGTGTACATGCACATGCACGCACACACACCAGGCTCACAGTGCTCCATATACGATTGTACTTAAGCACAATTGAAAATGACTCGATATTGTGGACTTTTCATGATTGCTCACCATAGTTAAGCCCACAAATGCCTCTAGGTGATATAAATCTGTCCACATTTCTGATGACTTCCAGAGGCTAGATTTCTTAAAGTCCGGTTGGGGAATAGTAATGCCAAGTTACTTCCTAGAAAGGTTATAACAAGGAAGGTGACCATTCCATTTTGCTGGTGAGAATCTATAATTCGTGGAATTACTTTCTAACGTCTATATTTGAACTTAGAATTACCTGGCTCCAGAGCCCACGTTCTCAAAAGTGGAAAAATGTTGGTATTAGCTTTATTTCTCCTACTATAAAGGGTGGGTTTTTTGCAAGTCACTTTGATTTGTAGAGCAGTGGTTCTCCCAACTTTAACGTGCATCAGAATCACGTGGGAGACCTGTTAAAAGACAAGGTAGGTAGGCCCCACTTACAGGGTTTCTGATTTAGTAGGTGAGTGGGGGCCACCCTCAGAATCCCTGATTTATAGCATTATTCTGTCTCAGTTCCCTTTTCTGCAGAGTGTGACAGCTTCTGATGTTGAGGGAATGGGCAAGCTAACATACCCTTATCGTATAGTGTTATCAAAGTGTGGTTCATTAATGAAATTTGTTAAAAATGTGAATTCTTGAGCTGGGACCCAGCAATTTCTAACAAAAAGGAAGAATCTGATGCACCTTAACTTTCAAGAATCACTGTTGTACACTGGCGGAGAGTTAGTTGGTGAGCATTTATTGATGTCTGGGGCTTTGGCAAAACGTTACTCCTTTGCAGTGTTCCTGTCTAGAAAGGAAGTATTGGTTGGCACAGCCTCCAGGGGTGACTCTGAACTCTGGAGGAAATGGCACTAGCTTCAGAACTGGGTTCGAATTCTGACTCTTCTAAGCAAAGGATTTCATCTCTGTGAAGCCTAGTTTCCCCAAGAGTGGTTGTAATTTAAATAAAATGATAATGAAAAAAAAATAATGGCCTTTGTTTACCAAGTACTAGCAAATGTGTCAGCCACTATGCTAAATACTTTGCCTAATTAACTTGGTTTAATCTTTTAAAAATTTAATCATTTTAAAATTATGGATTATATTTATTTAATAGTTTTAGGACTATTAAAGTTATCTATTTAATATCAGGTATGTTGTGGTAGTTCGTGCTTGCCAAGGAACTGATACATTTCATTTAAGTTGTCAAATGTAAGTGTATAGAATTGTTGACAGTATTCCCACAGACTAGCTTTGTGGTGATACTTCATTCCTGATACTGAAAATTTGCATCTCCTTTTTTCTTTCTCAGACTTGGTAGACATTTGTCAGTTTTGTTGATCTTTTCAAAGAACAAGCTTTTTGTTTCGTTGGCATTCTCTATTGTCTTTCTGTTTTCAATGTCATTGATTTTATGCCTTTATTATTTCCTTCTGCTTGCTTTGGATTTATTTTGCTCCTCTTTACCTAATTTCTTGAGGTGGGACCTTCGGTTATTGATTTGAGACTTTTCCCGTTTTCTAATGTAAGTATTTAGTCTTACTAATTTCCCTCTTAGTATGGACATAGCTGTGTTCCACAAATTTTGATATTTTCCTTTTCATGTAGTTCAATGTAATTTTTTAAAGATTTATTTATTTATTGGAGAGAGAGGGCAGGAGGCAAAGGGAGAGGAAGAGAATCCTCAAGTACACTCCACGCTAAGCATGGAGCCTGATGTTGGATTCATTCTCATGACTCTGAGATCATGACCTGAGCTAAAACCAATAGTCAGATGTTTAACCAACTGAGCCACCCAGGTGCCTCTAGTTCAATGTAATTTTCAATTTCCTTAGAGACTTCATGTTTGATTTATGAATTGCATAGCAGTGTGTTGTTTTGTTTCCACATATTTGTAGATTTTCCTGTTAATTCTGTTACTGATTTCTGTTTTGGTTCCATAGTGGTCAGAGAATATTCTCTAATTTCACTTTCTTTAAACTTATTGAGGTTTGTTGTGTGGCCTGGGATATGCTCTGTCTTGGTAAATGTTCCATGGTCACATGAAAAGAATCCTGCTGTTGCTGGGTTGATTTTCTATAAATGTCAATTTATTCCTGTTGGTTGATGGTGTTG